TGTAGACTACATATGTATGTGTATACATGAAGAAAATGAAGACCAGGCAGAAAGAAAAGAAAAAAGAAAATAAAGAAGAAAATAATTCAATCACAAATAATTAATAATTTAATAAAATAATTATAACAAATAAAATTTTTTTTTTTTTCTAATCATAACAAATTAATTCCTTAAAAAAAAAAAAAATTAATAAATAAAAGAAAAAACACTTTCTGCCCCAAAGCCCAGGCCTCACATGCCCACCTCTTCTTGATGACGGCCGCCACGTGGTCCTTGAGCGTGGGCACCAGGTGGGAGATGACCACCATCACGCTTGCCACCAGCGCCTGCAGCTGGACGCCCTGCGGTCCACTCACTGTGCCATTCTGTGCAACGCCCTGGGGGGAGGGGGAGAGGGAGGGGTTAATCACGCACATTCGAGGAGGGGGACACCGTGCCTGCATTGCTCGGAAGATGGGGGAGGGGGGGAGACTCTGAAGGGGGGGGCAGGATCTGAGGATTGAGGGGAGAAGATTCTGTGGATGAGGATGAGGGTGGGAGGGGGAGGGGGGGGTTGTATTTGTGAGCCCAGAGGCAATGCGCTGCCTTCTGGTTTCTGCCTCTCGCACTAGGCTCGCTTGGTTATCTTGGTATCTTTACATTAGTTGACAGTTTTTAAGTTTTCCTTCAAATGTAAAACTTTTCCCTTTTTTTTCTGTACAGTTAAAACAATAACATTAACAAGGATATAATACATGTGCTTTTTAAAAGCAAAACAGGTACACGTTCATGCACGCACACATGCTCCATTTCTTACCCTAATCTCTCTCTCTCTCTCTGTCTGTCTGTCTGTCTGTCTGTCTGTCTGTCTCTCTGTCTGTCTGTCTGTCTGTCTGTCTGTCTGTCTGTCTCTCTGTCTGTCTGTCTCTCTGTCTGTCTCTGTCTCTCCTCTCTCTCTCTCTCACACACACAACACACACACACACACACACACACACACACACACACACACACAACACACACACACACACACACACACACACACATACACACACACAAATATATATATCATCCCCCCAGCACACCCACACGCACCTGCACGTGGAACAGGACCCTCAGGATGTCCACCATGACATCATCGGAGCGAATTTCGGCCATGAGCAGCATGAGGGTGGCATAAATGGCCTCAATGTTGACCAGGCGGTTGTTGCTGAACTCGCAATTCTCTTGGAGGGAGAGCATGATCTCGTTGCCAGACTTCTTCCAGAAGTTGACGTCTTGACGCACCGGCTTGCTCATTGTCAGGCCCAAACGGCTAACCTCGAGGCTGTGAGGAGGGTCTAGTATTACTACTCCTTTACACTAATGAGGACGAGCATATCTCCTTGGAATGGCAAGGGCATATATGAATTGGTAAAGGATAAAAATATTAAGCCATATACTAGAATCAGAGATAGCCCTTCAAAAAAAAAAAAGTTTTTTGCTGGTTTATGATTTACGGAGCATACGGTCTTCCCACAAGTTAATTTGACAGCTGAAAAGAACATAACAGACCCTAACAGTTTAAAAACCTCGGCCCACCTAACAGCCCTTCACTAGCCAGCATTTGCAAATATCTTACGTCGGTTTGGCAAGCTTCTCGATGTTCTGGTGGCGATCAATGAGTGTGTGGAGAATTTGCTGCACCGTGAGACGGACCTCCGCGTCACTTGAGACCGAGAGACGCATGAGGCGAACGAGGAAGGACTGTGCAAAGGTGGTCGAGTACTGTACCGTCGTGTACTTGGTTCCCACCTAGAGAGAGGACAATTTAAAATCAAGCAGAGTGCGAAGGGAAGAATACAACAGATCCTCTGTAATTATCAAGCATGTGTCAGAAAGTTCAACAAAATAGAGAATGCAATATGGAATTAGAAGCAAAGTAAACAAAGGATAAAAAGAAGACGACAAAGAACTAAAGGAGGAGGAAGAAAAGAAGAGAAGAAGAAGAAGAAGAAGAAGAAGAAGAAGAAGAAGAAGAAGAAGAAGAAAAAGAAGAAGAAGAAGAAGAAAGAGGAAGAAGAAGAAGAAGAAGAAGAAGAAGAAGAAGAAGAAGAAGAAAGGAGAGAAGAAGAAAAAAAAAGAAGTAAAAAAAGTAGTAGTAGAAGCAAAAGAAGAAGAAGAAAAAAAAAAGAAAAAGAAGAAGAGGAAAAAAGATGGCTGACATTTATCCATCTCCTTGCAACTTCCAGAAAGTGAGCCTGACCTTGAGTAGTGACTTGAGGAGCAGATGCTGGAGTTTGACCTCTGCCTCGGGTCGCTGGGAACCTCCGTCATCCACTCGGTCGCTACCTGGCACCTGAAGCACAAAATCAATTAATAAATAACCAGAAACACAATCTATACATCCTATTTTCTATCAAAGAGAAATTGATTCTTTAGAAAATCAAATTCCTTCTAGTTTATACTTGAAACTGAATTCTTAAGGGGAAAAAAAATGTGAGAAGCTGCAAAAACAAGTTTCTTGAACCTAATCAGCTGATTTAGATTGGCAAACTCACCTTTCCTAGAATGTACTTGTATATTATCACATTCATATACCAATACATAGCCACATCCTCATGCCTCTCTATCCATACACCTATGTGTATTTACCTACCTCCCTATACCTCTCATACCACCATAACCATAAATCTCTACCCACATATCAATTTCTCTACCCAACTACCCACACCACTCTATCCACATACCCACACCATTCTATCATCTATTCACCATCCACTAATACCCTTTAATCAATCCACTTACTCTCCCTCTATTCACCCATATCCACCACCAAATGAGTCGGCAATCTTCTACAATTGCGCCATTGTAATCCGCAACCTCTATCTGGCTAGACCCTACCTCCTACCCACCTTATTCAGGATGAAGACCATGGAGTCAATCTTCTGGTAGTCGGGCAGGTGGTTGGCATATTCTCCCAGGGCATGGATTAGCGTCTCCTGGTACATCTTCTCCGCTGAGCTCTCCTTTCCGCTCACTCCACCCACAACCGAGGAACGGATGTGTTCCAGTAGGGAGTTGATGATCTCAATGACCGAAGGGCCTGCAGGGAAAGAGGAGGGAGCGGGGAATTGAGGTTTTAGTATGCTGGGCATAGAAGTGTCTGTAAACTATGTGATTTAGGTGTGTAGTGTGAAAATACTAACAGAATAAAGGTATCAACTTTCAGTTTCAGTTGTAATTCACTTGTGCTTCAATTCTTTAAAAAATAAAATAAAATAAAACAAAATAAATAAGTAAACACGCCCAACGTCACACCTCAGAGACCTTCAACCTGCTTCCCTATGCCTCTCACCTATGCATTCTCCCGCAGCAATCGGAATCACCTTGGAGAGCACGTCTGCAATGCCCGTCCTTATCTGTGCTGGCTCGCTGCTCTTCTCATTGAGGTGCGCCATGAGGAGCTCTATCACCGTGATGCTGTACTGAGCCTAAGGGGGGGAATAAACAGAACAATAATTGTCCTAGTGTCTTAAAAAGGTTTAGTGTTTTAGGAACGTTAGATGTAAAGTTAAGGTGACCTCAGCACACCCAACCCGAGTCAAGGGGATATCTCCATGCGCCAAAGGCTTAAAGGAGACAACGTCATAGACTTGTCTTTACTAACAACCTTTTTGTTTTTTTGTCTTTTTTTGTCAATCTTGTTTTTTAGTACAAGTACATTCACTTATTTTTCTGGCTGTAATTATATGAAATAGGGTACCTGTATGGAGTACAATACAATTATTCTATTACTACTTTCATTCATTATTTTCCCGGCTGTAATCATGTGAAGTGTAAGTACCTGTATGGAGTACATGACAATCTTGAAGACCTGCACTGCGAAGCTGTTGTTGACCCACAGCCCTTCGTAGTCTAAGTGGCTAATGGAAGGAAAAAGTACATTAGAAACATACAAGTGACAAAGGATAAATCACAAACAGAAATTACAAAGGAAAGAAAAAATAATGAGAGAAATAAATAAAAAAAAGTTAAATAAGAAAAATAAATAAAACTATTACAAAAGAAAAAAAATAATAAAAGAAAAATAAATAAATACTAAAAAGAAATCAATCAATCATAAATAAGAATAAATATATAAACAAATTACACGAGAAATAAAAATAAATAAATAAATAAATAAATATATATTAAAATAAAAAAATCAAAAAATCAATAGATTATAAAAGAAAAAGAAATAACGAAGGGAAATCTACACTTGAATGAATAAGCAAGCATTCACTTTCTCTCTCAATATCACAGCAAAAAGTATGATACATTTTGATACATTCACTCCAGTAGATAATTTGTGTTATGCTAGAAGCTGCAGTAATTCAGTAGGATGAAATAATAATTAAAAAATGGTGTTCCAATTTCAAGTTCAAAATAACATTCTGGGCAAAGAGGGGACAGCAAGTGTGATACCTGATATAATAACAATAAATAAAACACTGTCACTCACATCAGCAAAGGCTTAATGACGTTGTGTATCTTGCCATAGGTAGCTCGCGAAACCAGCTCCCTCAGGCACATTTCAGCCAATTCGTGCGGCTCTTTCTCACCCTCATTCTGGTGGTTGTCTTGGGTGTCGCTGATCTGGGTCGTTCCCTGCAAGAGTTGGAAGGGCATTTATTGTTTTGTTGCGCAGGTTGGCTTGGTAGGTATGCAAGTCCCTCCTCTGTCTGCTCCTGTATTTTCTGTGAATGTGGTTGGTGATTCTCATTCTTTTCCCCTTAATATTTAGGGCCCGATAACCCCAGAAATGCAAGGAGCATTGTGAGGCGACCATCTCAAGTGGACACTCCTACTTTGCCAAGCCTTGGACACAACAGCAGAATCCGCTGCTTTTGGATTAGTACCGGTCACATTGAACTCAATATTTCCACTCAATGTTAAGGATATACTCCCCTTTCTACTACTAACAACTGTCTCGAAGGGGTTATATATCAATACCAAACCACATTAACTTTTCTGCTCTCTTCTTCAGACTCATATTTCAA